GAAAATAATGTTCGAGCCGCAGTACCCTGTGAAGTTTAGCGAAAATCGCGCATATGACCTGACCGCCTCCCCCTTGGTTTGCTTATCTCGACTGCCCCTGTCCAGCTGAGGGTGAGAGAGCAACAGCTGCGGTGGTATCTACATGTGCTGAGAAGACCCGATAAAGAATGCGATGGACTTCGAAGTGCAAGGCAAGCGACCGCGAGGAGCCCCAAAGAAGAGGTGGAAGGATGTGATCAAGAAGGACCTAGGTGAAATCACGGCCACTGCAGGAGATGCCCTAGACAGAGCGAAGTGGCGACGACTGACAAAGACAGCGGACCCTGCGACTGCGCGGGACTAACGCTAAGGAGAAGAAGAGGCCATTGAATGTAGCTATAGTCGCTGACAGAGCCAATGCACCAAAAAGATTCTTTCGGCGGTACTCGGGCAAAATCCTCAACGCCATTTTTTGAATACTGGACGTATAAAGCTGCTTTAGCAACCATTTGATAGAGAAAATCTTCTAGTTTTGTCTGCCATATTAACTTTTCGAATTTGACGAAAATGAAGCAAGTTATTGCTTCGGAAAGTGTAAAAACTCGTGCTCATCTCGAATTTTCCTCGTTAGTCAATCTGAATTTGTTATTCCTTCTGTCTTTCACACGCTGTTTCGACCAAAGCAAAGTAAGCATGAGGCAAGACCCGATGTTTCAAATAAATATATGAAATTTATGTTAATTATAAATTCGATGAAGTTTGAACCTTTACTGTTAGAAACTCAATTTATTGATATATTATTGTATGGGAATCAAGCAAAAGCGTAGCCTGGTTTCAATTGCGCACGTACAGACAGCTGAGCAAGAAAGAAGCCTACATCAGCAATCTCATGGCGCAAACCAGATGATATATGAATATGGGGTATACATAACGTCGTCGGAGAGACCAAAAGGCAGCGCTCTTTACACGACACCAGCTGATCAGCTGAACTAATCATGAATCTCTTGAAATATAAAAAAATCAAGGCATTTGCAGCGTTTTAAATGCGGGTGGCACACAAATGCAACACTGGATTTACAAGCGAACGGTTTGTGAGATGAATAGGGGCGAACAGCAAGTGGAACGAGCATGAATAGTTCTAGAGACCATAAAGCTAACCAAAGCCATCCGCAACTCTAAATTACTGGCAAAGAAACGAAGTTCTTATTCTGTGATATTTGAATATAACTTGTGGTAATTCTCTTTGAAGGCCATTTCGCGTGCTTTCAAGGTGCAGATGTAAGAAGCCGAACTCTGGCTTGTGAGTTCTTATACAGCACTGTTGGAAAAGGAAAATCTTTACAAAGACTTGCGCAAGAAGTTCCCATTTTTGAGCAGGAAACTGTAAGTATTGAACATCATCATTAAAGAGTTCAAACTGCTCACATTTTGGCGAGTCTTGCCTTGAGGAACACGATCTGATATGAACAACGGCGAGTCGATTGCCATGCTGGACCATGAGCGGTCGGGGCAGCCGTGAATGGAGATACCCTGGGAGATCCACTCTACCAAAGTGTACTAGATCATCTGCCTTAGTTCTACTGTGAGAACAGAAATATGTATATCCCAGATTCACTTTTAGGAAAAAGTCGGAAATCCGTTCAAACACCTTGTATGTAGATATGTATTTCACTCAGATCGCAAATCGAGAGTTGTAATGGGTTAAAGTGGGTGGAGAAAAAGTGGGTAACAGAAATTCGATATCCGTTCAAGGTGGTATAGGGAGCAAAAAAGCCCGCAAGTGGGAGGACCAATTTCCAGAATAGCGCAAGCCGTAATTTCCAAATATTTGGCATTGGAACCTCCCTCGTTATCGATACACGCTCATTGAAATTCCGCTCATTCGTGGCTCCAACAAACACGTAAATGTTGGCAGTTTTCGGACAAATGACCCATTCTGCAGCTGAATCTGAGAAGAAAGGACACGGCATTTGGCACTGAATCGATATCCTAGGGTTGTGAGAGTGTAAATTTAAAGGAATCTTCCACGGAAAAACATCGCCTCCATTCCTACAAAAAAAAATACCTTAGGCCCCTTGCTTCATGAAGATAGCAAAAAGAACGGAACATAGGCGATGGTTTTGATAATAATTATGATAACCAGTTCGACTATGAAAATTTTGAATTCCCGCTGTAAAACTTCCACAACTGTTAGCGGCGTGGAGTCAACACGTGCAAACGTGTCAAAAGCGTGAACGTGAACAGGATTCATGTTGGGCCCTTCCCATAAACTGACACGTGGATCCGCACCTGCCACGCACTTCGTCACAGAAGCACTTCCGGTCCCGCCTACTGGTCCAATCCGGTCCCACAGATGGGTCTTTCCAAGGGCTGTTTCTCTTGGGGGTTTCATCATTTTCGCTCTGAACTTTGCATATGGTCTTCAATGACCATGCCCAACACCTGTACACAAGGAAAGGATAAGCAGTCTTTCCGTGGAAGATTCCTTTAATCATAATTGGCCATGGAGCCACACGGACTTTAACTTTTCAGGGTCAAGCCTACCTTTATAATTCGGATAAGGAAATGAGCTTTTCGGGTGCACGCATACTTTATATATGCCAGATTTAGCGTTCATAATCGGCCTCGTGTTAAATCGACCAGGTTACGGTGTTCCAAAGCCGTTTCCATTGTACCAACATTTTCAAGTTTTTTTTACAAATGACTGAACTTTTTTTAAACTTCTCTGTCACCTTTGTAAAATAATTTTGCTTCAGATTCTGAGAAAAAAAAATATAAAAAAAGAGTGGAGAAAACTAGTCGTCACAACGGGATCGAGCACGGGACGGCAAGAGTTTGAAGGAACACCTTACCGTTATGCTACACGTGCCGTTTTTGACACCGCAACACCTTGTTAGCAAGTCCTGACGCTCATATTTTTACCATTCAATCGAACAAGATCTTAGAGTCTGTTGGCGTAAGAGGGATGCATGTTGCTGTAAGGTTGCCAACAAAAGGAGCTATGGTGAAACCTGCGAACCTCAAAAAAGGAATAAATAGCGAAGAGTCAAAGCTCCCCGCTACCCCCGCTACCACAAAGAAATGGAGCTAGGGTTTTTAACTTAGTTTTGTTAGCAGCTTGAAAGCTTTGGTAGATATTATAGTTCTTCATGTGCTTTGTTATTACTAGGTATTGGTTTATTGTAAGAAGCAAGTACCCCTCTTACCACCAAATCCATACCTTGTAATAAGTTTTTCAGCTCTAACGTAAAGCACGAACTTTCTATTTTTAGTTAGAAGATGAATTTGCAGGGTACTTTTTCTGCCCTCTCAGTTATGATAGATGTTTAACTATAGTGTTCATTGCCCAGTTACATGACACCAAGCGTCAAAACAACATGTGACATAGCTCGCGTTGAAAATTTCCGTACAATCGTCAGCTGTAGGTCGCATGGAGGTGTTGTTAGCATTCCAAGATGTGATCAATAACATTTCACAATGAAAAAGAGAAGAGAATCACATTTTTTCAGAGAATCAAAGCCGTCGTTATAGGATGTAGCTGACCACTGAAACCATTGATGTCCCGTTCTTAAAGCGCGAAGGTGCACGAAGAATGCAGTAAAGCCTCAACAAGACCGCTTTGCTTCTTTTCCCTCGGCGTGCGGTTGCCTGCGCTCTCTCATCCGTTGTGCTCGCCGCCTATTCTCTCTCTTCGCCGCGCAGCACCTCATTTCGTTAGCACGGCCAAATAGCAGAAATGTGGAACCTGAGTCAGATTTACTGAATCATCTGAGTTTTTGAGTTTTACTGAATCATCTGAGGAGCCTGAGTCAGTTTTACTGAATCATCCTAAGTTTAGATAACTTGTGAGTAATGTTTCGGATTGAGATGCGTAGGTTGTAAAAGTGCATGCAGGTGCAGACTAGTATCCCTAGGTGTCTCCTTAGGTACTTGAGATTCTCTCACATGGTCGTAAACCTAAGCCACGCCCCCATCTACTGTCGATCCGTCTTCTGATCGAGCTGATCAGTCAGTCTGGAGTTTTGCCGAGCTCACGGGATGTGAGCAGATCGGTCTCTCTCGGAAACGAGAGGGGAGTTTCCCGAGGTCGTTGCGGACGACTAGGTGATTAACTCTACGTGCTAGAGGGCTCCCCCTGACTCCGAAGCGTCGCCGATGCGAGCTTCGTTCTCTTCACTTGGTGAAGTTGGGTCTCCCCTGTGTGGAAGCAGTTGTGCAGTAGTTCGTACAAGACGACTACAGATGCACGTTGGCCTAAGCGTGGCTCACGCGATGGTCGCCCTTCCCTTCAGAAGGAAGTGTACGTTTGAACATCCTCAGCGAGAAGATGGTTCAATCGTGCAAGATGGCAGGTGAATTGCGGACAGTCCCTTTTCCCTAGCTTGGTTGAAGCCTCAGAGTCCACAGTCATAGTTTAACACCTTTGGTCTATTGGCACATCGCCAATCATCATATAGTTGCAAATAAATGACTAATCAAGAGTCGTTACTTTTATGCAACTATCAATCGTCACAGCTACATACTACTTAACACTCACGGCAGTCACGAAACTATGGAACTTCGGCTCCAGCGTGGGGGCCAAGCCGTGAGAGCTAAGTAATTGACCTTTTATCTGCTAAATGCCTAGATCGATGGCGAAATGTCGCCAAGAGTGCGGATTCGCCACTGGCAAATGAGCGAGTGGTCACATCTCACGGACGTTGAGAAAGAACTCGGAAAAGAGTGTGCTTTTCGTGCTTTCTATGGTCTACTTTGGACGCAATCCACTAGAGAAAGAGTGGCCATCGTTCGATTCCCATGATATCTGAAACACTTCCTGCGACATCAGTAGTCTTAAGCCAACACACCTTCTCCTTTCGATGTTTTGGTTAGAGTTATAATGCGATACAGAAAAAAAAATCATCAACACCTTTACTGACTAGAAATCCGTGTTAGCTTTCAGCATTCATTAACAACACATCACTGCGAGCTGCCGATAACATGGAATTCTGGAGATCGCAAACTAGAACTGGAAGTCATCATCATCGCACATGCAGAGTACCCATTTCGCGATCTTTGCCTCCTTCTTGTGCACATCCCTTCATACCTGTTGATTGTTGATCAAAGCTGTATTGCAGTGATTGAGACTTTTTTGATGTGTGAATACGGTCCTGAACAGGTACGAAATAAATGCAGTTACACAGATAATGAAATGATGTGTTTTGCTTCATGAAGTCGATCTGCCTACAAAAACAACAACTCACTTCCTGTAGACTGCGTTGAATCGGTACGTCGATTTGTCCTGGGCACACCTCGATCATCACTGCTGAGGGACGTTCTGAAAATTCAAATAGAAGCATGAGAGAGAAATGGCAACGAAGTGGTAGACCTATCAAGATATCACTCTCGATTCTTAAAGTACTGGGGGTTTCCCATTGGACAGATCTATCAAGATAACACTCTCGATTCTTGAAGTACTGGGGTTCCCCAATTATGTTAAGGCAGCGACTACGATAGATTCTTGAGGGGTTCAGAGGGAACGTGGGGGTAATCATACGCTATTGGCAGAGAAAGCAGAGAAATCCGTCAAGATCACGCAAAATAGTACCTCTACCCTTGTTTACCCGTTCCCTTGTTTACCAGTTCCTTTTAGACCATGGATGAACGGCGATCAAAATGGGGTCATTTAAACTTGGTAACCCCGACAGCTTAAACAATGCTTTTGGACCGTCGTCTCGCATCACCTCCTTGAAAAAGCCTCGTATTCCATCAGGATATTTGCCGTAGGAGCGGTTTGCACATCCGCAAGAATACATACTGACCAGCTTGCAATTCCAGCAAGTCCACCAGTTAGCAACGTGGAGCCAGAAAACTCTTCTCGAGGAACTCATATACCGACAAATACGCAGCGCTCGCCAGTATATCTAACAGCAGTGGTGCAACCGTTCCATTGTGGAGGCTGGTAAGTCCACCCTGTTTACACAGCTTCTTTACGACATCCAAGCGTCATAGTGCACACCCAACGGTGCACGACCATGAACCATTGCACCTGCAACAGACATTTGTTCGGTTCTCCTGGTACCATGACGATGGTAGTGAACAACCCAGCCAATGTGCCGCCATTCATATTCTGGATGAACGTCATCTCCTGATCTGGATGAGTCGTCTGAAGATGTCTACCACAGCGCAATCGGCAAAGAACACCGCAAATAAGGGACTCACTCCGGCAAGAGGGACGGCCATTCGCCTCACAACGCAAGAAACCTTCTTTGGCGATTGTTTTCTCACACAATCCAACGCCCCTCTGGACATGGGTGGCTCCCCTGGCTTCGGTCTAGGCATTGTCTGCAGCCGGACCTTCGCGGTCGAACGGGTGGACCACAATCACGGTACAGGAGCCGCTGACGCCACCGGCTACGAAATTCAGAATAAAATCGGACATTCCTCGAGCGGTCTCAAACTTGGGTAACTAAGCTTTGGTGGGCGGAAGTGGTGTAGTGGCAAGTGGCACGCTTACCACGCGAGCGGTCCGGGATCAAATCCTGGGTCGTGAGTCGCCCGGGCCAACCAAGCCTTCCATCCCTCCGGGGTCGGTTAATTGGTACCAGACTTGTCTGGGAGGATAAAAACACTGACTTGTACATCGGCTGGCCCCCGCAAGTCATTGTATAGGCCACATCGCATTCAAACGCCACTACGAATGTACAAATGGAAGTAGAATGCGTGCCGCATCCCAAAAAGGGATTGATCAACGGCAAATGCTTTATCCTTCATTGTTTAAACCTGATAGTCGACATCATGCCGCAAACTTCATGTTTGTTTTGTCATTTAAAAGGGAAATTATCTCCCAAAATGAAAACCCAACAGCAAACAGCTCTTAAATCACCAAATAAAGTGCTGCGTGCGTTCGTGCATGAAAACGCTAAACCTCGCGTCCTCGCAGCAACTCCTGCTTCGAGTGGGCGTATCCATCCTGGGTGCCATTGCTCTTATGGCAATGGTTTTTTTTTATTGATGTCCGCTACTGTTTTTAATGAACTCTCAAAATTCTCCGTTACGACGGCTGACCGGTTGGACGTTTAATCCGTATGCGGTAAGACTACCCGGGCCATTTCTCTATAAAATTGTGGACTGAGGCCTAAGGTAAAGGGGCACGCGTTTTGTTCATAAATCCACTACGCTCAAGCCTTCAATGCCCCTGCTGACCCTTATATATATATTCCCTTCGAATGATTCCTTTGAGAAAGTGTGTCAACGCGCTGACTTCCCTAAGAAAGAAACGAACTGTTCCAACCGGACAACCTTATAATGGCAGAGAGAACGACGCAAATACTCGATCGGTGTTAAACCTTAAAGGCAAAAGTCGGGCTCAATAAGGGGGTATTATGGCGATTGAAACTGAGTATAGAGATGCGAAGTGGAACGACAGTGGAGAAAAAACTGAGAAAAACCGTCGACAAGGCCGTTAACAAAACCCTCTTTCCCACTAGCAGTGAAGGAGGCTGGCTTGGGAAGAGGCACGTACAAACAAGTTTTCTGGAGATGTCAGTCGTTCTATCGGTTGATACGGCAATCAACCTAGTTGTTTCACACGTTATGCCAGCCACGCACCACTTCCGGAGGTATAGCTGCGGCTCCGGATTGCGAGGCTGCCGATTGAAAACCCGACGGCCCGGGCTTAACGACGTTTTTTTAGGTGAAAAGTTGCTGCAATGTGTGCAGCTACCCACATACAACCTCCAGGCACAGGAATTATTTCTCTAGCGTGCCTGAGCCCGACCTTTGCCTTTAAGGAAATGGGGGCGAGTTTGATTGAATACACCGACATTCGCATCGTCATTTCCGTGCAACTCGGAATTACTAGCAGACACAACACTAGCGTTATAGTGAAGATTGAGTGGACGAAATTTTGCCATGTTCCAAAAGTGGGTTTGCGTGAGAGGCAAGCACATAAGAGGAATATCCAAAAGCTGCTTACCGCCTTGCCGAATCCTGGCTAAGTAGTGGAGGTATGGCTAAAACAGGGGACGCATTTGGATCGTCTGCCTCGTAACTTTTGAATTTCTGCAATGGCGGCCTTGGATTTCGTTTCCTAAAAATAAAATTGTGTTGAAACCATGACGATCTCTTCGTTTCAAATTACGAAAAGTGACACATCGTTCAATAAGTACCCATCAGATAATCCATCTTTACTCTCGGTTGTTAATGGAATGGAAGGGCTTTCATGGTGTTTGTTGGTTCAGATAGCAAAAAGGATCAAAGGACTACACAGAACCATTATTGAGCCTTATCATTCTGAACGGGCACATCACACTGGAGTGGATGATGTTTGGTTATCACCTGTTTGGAAGAACAAGTGCTGATTCGACCAGTGTGGTTCTAACCGTGCTCTCTGGTCAGTGGAATCCCTATTCAAAGGCAGATGATACGATAGTTTGGTCACCGTCGGATGAAGGAAGAGTTGGGAAGTGGCGCAGTGGTGAAGAAAAAACTAGGCGAAACGGCCAAAAGCTCAGCAAAGCGGATCCCTCATCCTGCCTGTTGATCCCCACTTTGAACGAGCCAGCGACCAAGGCCAAGTTCGACTGGAGGTGTAACCGCGATGGAAGGTATCGAGACAGCGAAGACCATTCTACGCTTGGTGAGACATTATGGAGGCAAGTGAGAAAATGTGAGTGCTTATAAGCACAACCCAGGCAGAAGTCATATGAACCCAGGTCTGTAGGATAGACCCACAGAGGACAATCACAGATGTCCCGTGCATAGGAATCTCACTGCAGCGCTCTCGTGCCTCATATTCTAATCTCCGTGCTCACTCTCTCATTGTCTTAGCACAGCGAATTGCTGAGGTGAGCGAGCCACCTAACAAGTAAGCGTTTTCGACAGACTTTGTTGATTGGAGCGACAGATTTGCTGCGGTCCACATTGACCCTTTTGGCCCTGGCCCATCAACTTCAACTTCTTATTTTTAGGCCCTCCTCATAGCTCACGACTCGTGCGATCTTAAGGGATCGTCCTACTCGAGATCAATAGTATTTAATTGAAATTTCAGCTACGCAAACGCTGGCTGGTCAGCAGAGCTGTCGTTATTCTTCGCCGATTACTGCTTCATTGAAGAATCGCACCATTCCCTGATCATGGATGACATCAAACCTTCTGGAATGCTATAATTCTTTCGCTGTATCTTCTTTTGTCCAATGCGGAAACCGCTCACAGGTGAGATTTGCGAGATTTAGGCCCTACCTCTAAAAAATCTGTTTTCTCATGCAACATGCAAATTTTTCATATGTAGGGTGGCACGCGGTCACGGTTAGGCAGATGTCAACTTGGAGGGGAAGGGACATTGTAGCGCTGAGCACTCAAGCATTTAATGACCACGGCGAACCTTCTGCAAAGGCAAAGGGAGGACTCGGTTTAGCGTCCCTTTGAAATTCAATGGAATGACGCTCAACTCGTCCACTACAGTTGCGACGTCGCGGCCGCGACCACAAGCGCGGGTCTCCGGACGATTCTGTTGCTACGCGGCCGAGATAATGTTCTCCCAGATCGATTTTTTTCTGCTCTGTAAGCTTTCTCCTAACCAAGTTACGAATTGTCTTTTGTTAACCAACCACTTAGAGAACGTTCGGCTCCGCGGTAAACACCCAAATTCTACTCATCGACTCAGTGAACACCTTTCCGCATTACCTCCTGTTCTTCGGGGTTCGGGTCTCTATGCGAACTCGAAATTTTTGCCGCAGGCCCCGCCCAATTCGGCGCCTGCCCCGCCCACTGTGGGCTGAGCTAAATTTTTGCCGCAGGCCCCGCCCAATTCGGGCGCCTGCGCCGCCCACTGTGGACTGAGCTCCGCCACGAGTGGGCGGGGCTGGCATGTGTTTTTTGATTTGACCCGTGCCCCCTCCTCTGACCGTGACCAGACTCGGTGAGTGGTGTTCATGTGTACCAATATTGGTGACAGACAGCAGAGACACACAGACAGACTTGGCTTATTATAAGATGTATTTAGTAAATTGTGTGTCAGCCCTTCCAATTATTTTCGTTGAGATCGCTTCCAGCGACAACTGATGGTATGTGTTGTCGATCGCAATGAAGTAGCAGTTGAATCATAAAGTCCTACCGAACTTTGCAGAGAACAACTGGGCAATGCAAAACATTTTGCAGGCTTGTTCACGTCAAATTTCCATCGTTTCCGGCACGAAAACACTGATTGACCAAGAATTCGTGTGTCAGCCGTTCGCTTCGAAACTGACAACTTCCTTCGGTTCGAAATGTGACGAGTTTGATGGGGGTGGCACCGGTTTGCACGCAGTGATAGACTTTTTTGCTTTTATTGTTATCATCAGTCCATTTATATAACATCAACAGATGAAAACAGAACCTTGCCCGAGATTCAAATGTGGTATTTAGCTTTTTTCACCATTTCCTCTTCGACCAGCTTCAAGTCGTCATGTATTGTCATGTATGTATTGCATCGGAGGTACGGAAAAAAGGGCTCTATTTTGTGACCTCCTGGAGACCTTGAAAAGAGGTGAATAGACGGTGAAGAAGCAGGCGGCAAATCTTTGCGGCAGGCGGGGCGCATGCAAACTGAGCGGAGTTAGAGTCAAAAATTCAATCCAAGTTCTTAGAAGGTTTCAAGCCGTGCCTGAGGCCGGGAGTAGGTGAGGATAACGAAGGAGGAAGGGCCAAAGGCGCATGGAGGCTGGGACGTGCGCCAAGCCACTGGCAGGTCATGCAGCTTACACTTCGTGATGCTTCACTTTTGGGAGCAAGAACGATACTTGCTTGTTCTCAACATTTTTCTCGAAGATTGATTACAGTGCTCTATAGCATAGTGACGCCACCATCTCCACACGATTCAAAATAAAGCGACCAAACGCGTACCCAAGAGGAACTTTTGAAAGTGAACTCAAACACTTAAGCCCTACAGTTCCCTCATCTTTTCTTATCAACTACTGCCACCACCCTTGACTGGCATTCTTCGATTATTCGCAATTGTTTCAGGCAATGCTTTCGGAGAGGTCTAATGCAAATGGTTATGTGATGGACACCGCGAAAATTGGGGACTGTGTTGACAGTAGGATCAGGATTTCTCGTCGGAAAATTCTACACTGAACAATTGAATACGTAACAGTCAGCGCGAATTGAGCATTCAGGATTCGTCTGCTTTAGCTGACCTTTTTCCTTTGATGTGATTGTCTCCAACCGGCAACACTCACCTTGTTGCTAAGTTCAGCGTTTGGTTCAGAATATCGCGTCCGACGGCTTGTTCTCTCTGAGGTGAGTCGATTTGGACTCGGTGACGAACTCTCACGTCGATCGCCTCGTGATGAGCGTCGTTCCGATCGCACAGCTTTGGACGTTGACGGCATGTCGCTCAAGGCTATCGGCGCCTGTGCTGAAGTTTGACTCGTTGAAGGCTGGGGGGATGCCCCCAAGGAGGCACGCTCCTAAAATTTCAGTCATGACGAGACTATAAAATCAATCAGATCTTGCAAGGTACACCTTTCGCGAGGTGTCCGATCGGCGTCTTTGCTGTGAAGCTCTAGATGGGCTTTGCCCTCTTGACCCTCTTGACTCATCGACTGACTCTGATTGAATTGGCTTCCCCGTAGCCCATTCCAGAGGTCTGTAATTCAATCTGATTTCTAATTTGCTATGGTACATCTCCATCATCTATCTATGCACCTTTGATGCTTACCGTGGAGTTGTCGTCGTTTCGTCTACTTGAGCCACGCTTGGATTTTGGGTACTCCACTGAACGTGAGCGGCTCTCTTCGGCTGTTTCTGTGACGTGGCTGTGCTCTCATCACTCTCGCCGGGTTTCTAAAATATAGCTCATGGACAAATTGTGGGAAGTTTGCAAACGATTTCATTTAGATTTTTTAGATTTGGATTAATTACGTGTGCGAAAGGCACATGTAGAAAAAAAACAATAAACTTCCCGAAAAAGAAGAAAGAATCCAACCATACATATTGATATTCTTTTTAATCCTTCCGTGAAAACTATCGACTATAGCTCTTATTATTATGTCTATAGCTTCTAGGAAAGACGACACGTGAGGTGAACATTTCCGGCAGGCGTTTATGCCGCTAGCGAAAGGCGCTTTAATTCAATTCAATCTTTTCAGAATCCCCAACCACTGAAGAGGTGAACTAGTGCTGGCTTGCTTACTTAACTGTTCGCCTGGACGTTTCTATTGACGATCGCATTGCTAAAATATCTGCGACAGATTCACGTCAATATAAGACAAAGCCAGGTATAGGCGAAAGACATTGTAGAAACAATTCAAAATTTCTATAAAGGACTATCGGGGTCCATACCCCTGACCGCTCAATTCCAAACTTTCCTTCAAAGTAAAACCGGTGTTCGCGAAGTGTCGTAGGCAGCTGTTGAAGATTGCTTTGGACTTTTAGCCAGGACGTTTCAGAAGGGTTCCCAAATGTGGTTCCCTTTTACAGCTCTGACATTTCTCCACTGAAGTATCCCCACCACAGCACCCCCTCAGCTGCAACAGCAACAAAGGAAAGTCAAGGAAGAGAAGCACCCCAAAAACCTCTACAGATGTTCAACCCCCAGCTTCACTCATTCTGGAAAGAGTTGATAATCCATTCGTTTCCTACGAGACGGCCATCATAACATCATCAGCGTGATCATGCGATCGGCGGTATGACTTCCGCGGCCCCTCAACTATCCTTTCATAGAAATAAAAGTGAACAACTTAAAGGACGAATTCACGATGGAAAAGCAACCCATTTCAAATTAACCTAGGGATGGTGAGTGGTACACGAAAGAAGGAAGAACCATGAGAAACGGCCCAGAACCCGAGAAATGGTACCCCTTCCTTGCCCGTTGATTCGAGCATTGATGCGACTCTCATCGCTGTGCCCTCTTCAACACTACGCTCTCTCAGCTATCTAATCACTCGCCACGTATTGAACTACGGCGAGTGATCAGATGATCGGTGGGCGGAGATCGCCGGACCCGCCAGCTTTGAGGCATGATAGGTCGCCGAGGTCAAATTTTTCCATGCGAATTGCGCGTCAGTTCGCACCCTCAGGAGGTCCGTGGGTCCCTCAACTAGGTCAGTTTCCCTTTCTTCGACCTTCATTCTAATCGTGAATTCCTCCTTTAAACGAAGGAAAGTGTCGAAATTTGGCCAAAAATTATTAAACAACCCAAAAAGCAGGAAACCATCACTATATGCACTCCCATGTCAGTCACACTAGGCACGAGTCGGAATCGAATTGGTGGGTTGCGCAGTTTGAAAATTAGATAAGAAATGCGATGGAGAACGTGAGGGGGAGGGTAAAAAAGCAGAAAGCACCATGGGAAACACTTAAATTCCCCTTGTTTGGACGGCGTCAGTATGACGGAGAGACACAGCGCTGCGAGGAGAGGGAAAACGCGAGAGTACGTCGTACGCGAGAGGGCGCAAACGCCACGTATGCCGTGGATTGATAAGGATGGCAGCACGGCAGCACACAAGGCAATGCCTTAACGCCGTTGCATCACACTTATGCTTCGCGATATGACACGCCTCCTGCGTTTGGGGATGGGGATCCTTCTTCCTCACTCTAGGAGAGACTGGCTCTTTGGGACCTAATCCTAAGTGTGGCTTTCATAAAATACAAAAGGTAAGACGTGCTGCTGGCTTTCACTGATTTCGATGTCTGATTTCACGTTCCCTCAGCTCGTTTATTTTATGCTACATGATCACTGAATGACCGGACCTTCTTATGAAATGCTGCACATAATATTACCAGAAACATAATATTACATAATGGTTTACCTTAGATATTACAATACAAGAAATACTAAGAGAGAACGCTCGTAGTGGACGATTTCTAAACTGAAGCTTCTGAAATTACCTTCTGAACAGTGGCATCCAGACTCGGAGCACGATACACGCCTTTCTCCTTGGCAAGGCGGACTCGCTCACTGCAACGGTCGAACGCGCTCCCTCGCCGCCGCCGTTCATCCTCGATTCCCTTTAATAGCTACTATAATACTACTCGCTTCCAAATTTCTAGTTACCAAATTCTGCGGGTG